TCGTTCTGAGAAGTGCTACTCTGGGAAGATGGGATAGACGTGATTTTTTTTCTATTCATTCTGGTGAATACAACTAAAAACACTGGATGTTGCATGTAAATCATAAGACTCTGAGAGGCAGAGGGGGCAGACCTGCTAGAGACCTTGGGACCAAAGTACAACGCCGTGATGAGCTCCCTGCCGTTTCCCATAAACCCCAGACTCAGACCTGGCAACGGAGAAACACCGATGGGCAAAGGCGACAACAACCCAAGCCTGCTTTCTCTATCCAAGGACCAGAAAGACACGGCCTGGCAGGACAGAAGACTTCACCATGGACAATCGCACAGGCTTGTGATCCTAACGACTGGGGAGGCTGAGGCAGAAGGAGCGCAAGTTGGAAGCCAGCCTGGGCCACTTGGGGCCATCTCAAAATAAATTTTAAAAGGGGTGTGATGGAGGGACAGCAAGACACCAACCAGGGTGTGATGGAGGCCAGAGCCAGGGTAGCAAGGAGCCCCCCTCCTGGGGAGACTAAGCAGGGGCCAGACTTGGGTCTTCCCCTGGCAGCTCCGGGACGGTGCCTCTGTCCTCTCCCAGGGCAGTGTCGAGAAAGCCAAAGGGAACAGAATCTCCTGGGAGAATGTCCAGACCCCCACTGACACGCCCATCACACCCAGGACCGGGAAGGCTCCACTGAATGGGAAGCGACAGTCGATCCCTGCCAAAGCCAAGATGACACAGACGACGTCCAGACGAACTGACAAGTGTCTCAGGGCTGCCGTGAGAACACGCTTCAGTGAGCCATCACTGCACCCTCAAACGGAAAATGGGGACACTTGGCAGAGACACAGAGTCTCAGCCAAAAAAAGAGATTCTTTTAAAAATGGATATTTTCAAATTGAGACCCACGAGAGCCAAAAGGAAAAGCTCGGTTGATAACTTTGACCACAGAGTGGAGAGGGCAGAGGAAAGAGCCCGTCACCCCTGCGAAGCGGAACAAGAGAAGCCCCAACCCGAGTGGCTCGGAGTCCAGAGGTAGGCACCGAACAGCCCGGGGCCATTCGTGATCCAATTTCTGAAAACCAAGGACCCAGGGGGGAGGGACCCTTGAACGCAGTCAGAGACCAACAACTCCTTACCTGGAAGAGGAAACGACTTGAATGGCGGTGGGGTCTCACGATAAACCAGGGCAGGCTGGGCGGAAGCGGAGCAGAATGTCCCCAGTGTTGACAGAGCCCTGTAAATGGAGTGAAAATCTCCCCTAGGAATTAAGGGGAAATGAAGACATTCTGCGATGAAGGAAAACAAGAACCTGTCACCAGCAGCACAACCCAGAAGAATGGCCAAAGGAAGTTCTCCAACCAGGAAATGACCCAGGAGGAGCCTCCGAAAGCTAAGGGGAAAAATAGGCTTTCCTTCTCCTCTCGGGCTCTCTAAACTACGTTTCACAGTGGATGCAAAAATCATTTCTGATGTGATTCTAAACCTACGTAAGGAAATATTTAATATCAATTACAATTACAAACAGGGAAAGGGAAGGGGCAAAAAGGGACGTGAGGTGTGTATGATTCTAATTGTAAAATCATCAAGATTCAGCAAGTATAACGTGACATTTGCAGCAACCACTTAAAAGGTGTCCGAAGACGTGCTTCAAACCATTACAGATAAATAAAAATGGAATTATAAAAAATGTCCCTGTGGGTCTGAGAAAAACAGAAAGACATAAAATAACATGTCTGTATCTTAACTGTATCCACATCGATATTTGAGCTGTGATACTATTTTGCAAAATGTTACCACGCGGGGAACTGGGTGTCCCTGGCATCTCTGGGCTGTTCCCTACCGACCGCAGGTGAGTCTATAACTATCTCAAAACACAGCCTTCTTAGCTTGCAGCAGTATGAAAATGGGTGGTGGGCTGGATGGAACCCCTGTCCAAAGTTAGTTGCCCCCTTTCCTGATCTTTTGTTAGTTCTATTATTGCAAATATCTTCTCCCAGAGTTGAATTTATTTTCTTTTATATAAATATTCAAAGAGATAGTCTTTTTAATTCAATCTTTTCTTTCTCAGCTGACACTTTTTGCCTTAGCAAACCTTATGCTCCTCTGAAAGCACCAACATTCTTCTGTCTTTTTTTAATATTTATTTTTTAGTTGCATTTGGACTCAATACTTTTATTTTTTTTTTTTAAATTTTTATGTGGTGCTGAGAATCTTACATGCTAGCTCCTCTGAGCCACAACCCCAGCGCCATTCTTCTGTCTTTTCTAAATGTTTTTTTTTTTTTTTTCGGTTTGGGGCTTGTTTTTGTACCGGGGATTGAACTCAAGGGGCACTGAATCACCGAGCCACATCCCCAGGCCTATTTTGTATTTTATTTAGAGACAGTCTCCTGAGTTGTTCAGTACCTCGCTTTTTGCTGAGGCTGGCTTGAACTTGAGATCCTCCTGTCTCAGCCTCCTGAGCTGCTGGGATTACAGGCGTGCGCCACCATGCCTGGCTAGTGTTTTCTACAAGTTTTGAAGATTTGCCTTTCACATTTAAGTCTACAATCCATTTAGAATTCATTTTTGCACATGAGCTAAGGTAGAGATAGAATTTTCTATTTTTCTATGTGAATACACAATTGTCCCAGTTCAATGTATTGAAGGGTCCATCCTTCCCCGACTCTGTCTTAAAAATAAATGGTTTTTGCATGTGCACGAGCTTCTTTTTTGAGGTCTCGATCGTATTTTACTGGTCAAACTGTCTATCCCTAGGCCAGTGCTACAATGTTTTCTACTAATGCAACACCTCTCACTTCCCTTTTTTAGCTTCTATTCTTTATAAATCTTGGATAATGGCAGAATTTGGTGTGAACATACTTTATAGAGAGAGTTATGAAAAATTGTGTTGTGAATGGATGATTATGATCGTAATGCATTCCACTATTGTCATGTATGTAAGAAATTTAAAAAAATAAAAAAATAAATAAAAGATTTAGAAATTAAAAAAAGATAAATAAATCTTGGGACCAGCCTGCCCTGGGCCTGTCAAGACCTGTGGGAATTCTAATTGGAACTGTTCCACAATTACGAGGTCAATTTTGAGAGAAATGACTCTCATTACATCTTCGTATCCATGAATATGGCACTTTTCCTGTTCATTTTAGGTGTTCCTTAAAGAATTTCAATAAGGTTCTGCCAGGCATGATGGCTGTGCCTGAAATCCCAGCTACGCAGGAGGCTGATGGGGGAGGATCGCAAGTCCAAGGCCAGACTGGGCAACTTAGGGAGGCCCTGTCTGAAAGTAAAAAATAAAAAGATTTGGATGTGAATCGGTGGTAGAGTGAACCTGGGTTCAATCCCTGATAGCACAACAAACAAACAAACAAAAAGACAAAGTTACAATAAGGCTCAATTACTTCCCCCAATACAAACTAAGCTTTTTATTTGTTGGGCTTATTACTGGATATTTTTAGTTATAGGTGGACATAATACCTTTATTTATTTTTATGTGTTGCTGAGGATTGAACTCGGTGCCTCACACATGCAAAGCAAGTGCTCTGCCACTGAGCCACAGCTGCTCTTGTAAATGGTATATTTTAAAGTTACTTTTGTTGTTTGTTCACAGAAAACAGGAATGCCATTTATTCTGGTATACTTGCTTTTTATACATCCAGCTACCTTTTCTGTTATAGGTATTTCCAATGATTCATAGATTATTTCATTTTTTTTTCTATGTAAAGAAACATTGTGCTGGGTGCCTTGGTGCATGCCTGTAACCCCAGCAGCTCTGGAAGCTGAGGCAGGAGGATTGAAAGTTTAAAGCCAGCCTAGCGAGGCCCTAAGCAACTCGGTGAGACCCTGTCTCTAAATAAAATACAAAATAGGGCTCGGGATGTGGCTCAGTGGTCGAGTGTCCCTCAGTTCAATTCCTGGTATGCCCCCCTAAAAAAATAAAAAATTTAAAAAATAAAATATGTGCCTTTACTTTTCTTGTCTCACTGGACAAGCTAGAACCTCCAATACATATTGAGAAGTGGGCATCCTTGTTTTCCTCCTGTATTTAAAAACAAGACTTCTAATAATAATGTTTCTCCATTAAGATATTGTTTTCTGCAGGTTTCTCATAGATTGTCCTTTGTCATAGTAACAATAACCGTATGCCCCTAGTTTTAAGGATGTCTCATGTTAAAGCATAAATGTGTGTTGGATTTTATCAAAAGTTTTTGCTGCATCTGTTTAAGATGATCCTGTGGCGTTTACCCTCTAATCTGTTGGTTAAAGTCATTTGTAGTTTTTCTAATATTAAATCACTGTGTTTTTTGGAAAAAAAACCTATCACCCACGTTCTGCGTCGCTGGCTCCGTCCTGCAGCGTGCGGCGCAGGGACGTTGCTGTGCATCCCGAAGGGCGGCAGCGGGGTCCTGTGCTCTCCTTGTCCGGTTTGCACCAAGGCTGCCCTGGCCTGGGGGTATCCTTGTTTTTCCACACCTCCGCCAGGGCAAGCAGAAACCAAGAGAGGGGAAGATTGGCGGGGCGGCGAGAAACACCAGAGAAGGAGAGACAGGGAGGGCCACAGAGAAGTCCCAGAAATCTAGGAGTCCATCCCGGTCCTCGGCCGGACCTTCAGCTGCCCACCTGAAGGGACAGCGGCTGCGGGAGACCCCAGGTCAGAGCCCAGGTCCACTATCGTGAAGGTGCAAAGAAAGCGGGGCGAGGGCGTCTCCAGGGGGCGCTCGGGAGCCGCTGCGGGAGGGTCGCCTGTCCATCACAGGGGAAGGGCCACTTCACAGGCACAGCCAGAGCCACTCCAGACTCGGGACTCGGCTGGGCCATGTGGGGGACTGTCCTGGGCCTCTGGGGACTGGAGGAAAGGAGGTGACTTTGGGTTTCTTTCTCACACCTGCCCCCAAG